GGGGACAGAGAAGCCCGGCAAGGTGCAAAAGAGATGGGGACTGAGCACTCAATTTCCTGGAAATACCAAAAAGAGACATCAGCTCAGCTCACAAGATGTAGCTGAAGAGAGAGAAGCAGCTGCAAAGAGCAGAGCAGGGCTTCAAGGACCCAGATTGCACTGAATGTTAAATACTAAGGGGCCCCAGAAAGATCTGGTGTCTGGAGCATGAAAGTGAGGGGAAAAACACACTTATTAGCAGAAAGAAAGAGCTAACTGCTCCAAGAAAACAGCTTCCACATAACAGCTGGAGCAGAAGAAATAAGGTCAAGAATTTGTAGCGATAGAAAATATTAGTGAGCTTTATTAAAAGAGTATGGATTAGAACTAGAAAGGCAGAAAAAAAACATCAGGCTCCAGGGAGAAATCTTAATAAACCACACAGAGTGCATGACTGCTCTCCTCCTTCCCCCCTGTGAGACACTGGCAGAAACAAGTTTTAATCAAAGTCTTCACTAGATAGCAAAGATGCTGAAAGCTGAGGTAGTGAAGGTTAAATGGTGTTGACTGAACTGCAGTGAAAGAGGAAAGTATGTCTCCAAGTGAGATGGGAGCAAACGAGCGAGGGAAAGGTAAGAGAAGACAAGGAGCCTCTGGGATGCAGATTTGGGGGAAAGTAAATAACTGACTTTGTGATCAACTCAGGGGAAGCAGTTTGGGTGAAGAAGAAAACTCAGGAGAGAAAACCTCCCTGATCTGAGCTCATAGAACTTCAGAGATCCTCCAGAAGCTGAAGGATATAGCCAGTGGGATTTTCAGATCTTATCCTAAGGAAAGAACAGACCCACTGCTCCACGGGCAACAGCTTGCTCTGTTGAAAGCCCATTTTTTATTTGTATTCAAAGGGCAAGAGAAGATGCAGAGGGCTCTGAGAAGCCATCATGTGCCAGGTCACTGAGATGGTACAGAAAGACACATGGCACTGAACTGGGGACGGCTGGCAGAGACCAGCTGAGCCCATCTGGGCAGGGACATGAAGAAACAGCAGGCTCCTTATGAAAAGGAAGCACAGGATCCATACTTCAGAGGTGAAAAGGCAGGCAGGACGCTCAAACCAAATGACCATACAATGGATGAACACACAGGAAAGAAAAACGAGCTGCGGGGTTCACAAGGGATGGCACAAACCTAGTGCTGGGGTCAGCAGCACACTGTGAAGCACTGCTCCTTCTGCTGCTGTCCTCCTCCAAAGACTGCCACCAGGCCACCAAGCATAGGCAGTGCTCAGATGCCTGCTGGGACAGAAAAGCCTTTGGTAATCGCCATGTCCCACACCATCAGCACAAGTAAAGGGCAGAACTACACACTCCGATGAAAAATGTAACACGTTCTTTCATTTCTGAAGCTGTCTGGCCTTTCATAAAATTTAAATAAGCTCAGATAACTCTCTTCGTAGCTAAAATCTGAATATAATGATATTCAAATATACTGTCTTCACACACACAACTTGTGAAATTATTTGCCAGCATATTAAGCCACTACACCAGATTGCTTGGCAATGGTGTATGTCTTTGAAACATGCAGATGCTTTTCTTTTAAAAATAAAAGAGAAAGGGAGAGAAAAAGAGAAGTGAGAAAGAATTACAGCAGGATCTGATATCAGAGTAACCCGAACAACAAAATGCAGAGACCCTAACCAGTGTTTTATCGTATCTAGAGAAATGGTTAAAAGATATCAAGGGACATTATGAATTTCCATTTGTGCGTGTATATGCACAGATATATACACCTAAGCTTACGGATAGATGCACACAAACAGGTACATGTCTAGAAGAACAACTGTGCAAAGTCTCACAAACACTGCAGTAGCGTTTGTCACACAGAAGCTCTGGCTCCTGTTGCCAGAGGACAACAGACAAGCTAGAGGTGTGGGTACAGAACTACAGGCATGATAACTGCTGAATGTCATTCTGAAGTCTCCCATACATAGCCTTCCTGGGGAAAAAGGATCATCTAAAATTAGCACATCTATCTCTGAGATCCTGTAAAAATTACTTTGCAAGTGCATATATGTACGGGTATCTATATACACACTCCAAATCTACTGAACATCATTCTCCAGGCATGGGCACAGACTGGAATCCAGCACTGCGCTGTGGTAAACAGAGGCAGAAATGGGCAAAAATAATGAATTCTCAGAGCAGTGAGCACATTTCACATGTCTGCCAGAAAGGAAACGTAGGAGCCCCAAACCCCCCGAAGTGCAAACTTTGAAAGGTTTCCTAAAATGCAAGATATGGAAATTATTCCAGCGAGGGCTGAAATGGAATTTGCAGTACTCCCTAACGAACTGCTGCTGCTCAGTACTTTGTAGTGAGTAAGCACGCCTTCCTGAGAAGAATATACAACTGCTATAAAAAAAGGTTAACGCAGGATGAAGTAAAATGGGATGCCATCCAGCCTTGATCTACACAAACAAGACAACATCTGAAGCGCGCAAAGCAGCCCGTTCCACCAGCTGAAGGATAATGAGTGACACCTTATTAGCTGACACAGGAGTGGAATATCTGTTTTCTCTGTAATCTGGACGTGGGCAGCTCCATCACAAAAGGATGCAAGCGCTGAAGGGAGGCATAAACATAATGCCCCTGTACGAGGCACACACATCGCAACAAAACGTGATCCAACCTTAGGCTGCAAACCAGACCCTTTTTCACAGGTAACAATGGCACTTTCAGGGAAAAAAAAAAAAAAAGAAAAAATAAAGTTCTTTCTAATGAGCAATTGATTTATAAGTCATTACAACCATTTCAATAGGACAGGTCATTGCTGTTTTCGGTGAGCATTAACAAAGCCACACACTTTCTATGAGCCCAAGTTCTGGGCACATTCTGATCCCACCAACAGCAATTAGATGAGCGCGTTCTGCAGCAGCATGGTGTCAGGAGAGAAATAGAGACATAAAGAGAAACACTGAGAAGACAGGTTGTCACATTCTTAACTTTGCATTAATAACAAATGCTGTTGCTGTCTATTCTGGCACATTTGCAAGCCTGCTTTTAAGTACAAGGGGCTGGCATGCATTTCCACTATAGATAGGAAAACAAGAGCAGCCTTGTTATGATTAAAAGGGTCTATTTCCCTCTGCCTTCTGTCTTCTCTGTCCATCTGCACAGCTGCTTTGAACTTGGCCAAATCCCAGTGCTGGGGTCGCCTGCAGTACGTATTATATATACATCAGCAGCAGATTGTGAGAATTTGCTGCTACCGAGGAGAAAAACCTCCAAATTCTCACATAAGTGGTTGATGAGTAGTTTTGGAGAATGTTCATCACTGCAGATAGCACAACCTTTTTGGAAATTGCAGCAAAACTATCTGAAACCTCTAAAACCATTTACTGTTTCACGAGGAGAATGAGATAAAGCCAACGTAGACACCTGCAAAAAGGAATCACTGTTGACAAAATGAATTCTGCAGATGCCGGTAGCTGATGGCACAGCTGGAGAGAGGTCACCAAGTTGGCACATGAGAAGGTAATTCCTCTTCAAAAGCACACAAGTAGAGAAATCGGATGAGTGGAAGCACTGCATGAAACAGCCCTGTGGAACCGGGACTGGTGATTTGTTTGCAGAACTTGGGGTCGATGCTGAGCAAATACAGAGTTTTAGGCTCTCCCCTGCCTTTAGCCTTCCCACCTACCTCCATCCAACAGAAAGAGAGCCATCCGAGCTCTCCCCCTCTAGCACGTAACACTTTCAGCACCAAATTCTCAGAGGAACCACAGTGTGTTGGCACTTGGGGATGGCCACATGGAGGGAAGAAAGGCAGAAATGACCAGAGGAAAAAAAAAAAAGTTATTCCCTTTGTAAACTTCTGTTGCCCAATCAGAAACCTGCAAACACAGAAAGACTTGCGTTGGCCATGAGATGCCATTCCTTCAGCAGAGCATGAAGACTCCTAATGGTGTCTTTCATGCAACGCAGCTAACACCATTCACCAAAGAACAACAGGCAGGATGAAAGGCACCCACGGGCTCATCCCCATGATGCCAAAAACCCACTTTCACTCCCACCTGGAGTTCTGCAGGTATCTCCATTTAATTACCACGAGTTTCCGTGTTGCTGACTGGTTGGTGGGATAAATAACCCATTTCTTTCCCTTGCCAACTTTTTCCCTTCGGCAATAGATGCCTGCTGGCTCAACCCAACAATTACAGCTTTTATCAGTTCTGTTTTAAAATGCTTCTATTCAAATGGTTGTGCCTCTCATTCCGAAGAGCAGCGGATAATAAAGCAAAGATGTTCCCGGTTGCAACCAGACTAATTTTAACCTCAAGCAAATCAGGAATTACACATTCATATTCTAAACTGTTTAAGGACATTATACTCATTTCTTTTACAGTTGATTCAATAAACTCTGCCTGCATAACAAATATCCCTATTACAATCACACGTTATTTTTTCTTTTTTTCCTTTCCCAAGAAGAGAAAAGCAGTGGGTACGAGGTGTCATCCGGGAAGAATTAATTAGGTCTTCCCAAGTAATTTTTTCAGGGCTGTACATTTTGCTGTTCGATACTGTATCACACAACACCCGATCCTTCCCCATCCGTGCGAGCAGCAATGCCACCCCCAGCAGCGAATGCCATATTCCTTTAAGGAAAGGTGAACAATAACAATGAAAACAAGAGGATACACATAAGGAAAACAGAAACACTGCCACACCTTTAGCAGGTTAAAAAAGACACACTACGTTGTGTTTTGTTTGTTTGTTTGCTTTAAACTTGTAGATACTCAAGAGGAGTATTTTGCTGCCTGTCTCTGCCTTACATTCCTCCTCCTTTTTCTTCTCAAAGAAGACGCCGAAACTGTCACTGTGATCATTTACCGGCACATAAAAAATAGCACTCACGATAATTTTAGCAATAAGAAAAAACTCCGGACCTCATCATCCGACACCATTTTACTTAATCAAACTGCAATCACGGTAACGAGCTCTCTCCTGCCAGCGCTCGGTACATACCTCATCCAGGGGTGCTCCCAAAGGAGGGGTGCAGACGTCTTTGGAACAAAAAGATGCCCACGTAACAGAAACCCCTCCGGTCACTCTGGAGGGTTTCGGACCAAATGAAGGTTTCACATGACAAACCCCGCGTGAAGTTTACAGCGCTCGCTCCCTTCCTTCTGCTCACCTCCCCCCCCACCTCCTCCCCACCTCCAAACGTCAGACAAAACCCAGCCAAAGCCCAGCGCCGGGGCGTTCTACAGCCGCCGCCGGGTGCCGGGTGCCACCGCTCAGCGGAGCAGCGCTGCCCGCAGCATCGCGAGCCGCCGCTATCTATCCCGGACGCGGCGGAGCGGTGCCGAACGGAGCGCCGGGCCGGGACGAGAGAAGCGCCGGGGTCAGCGGAGCCCCAGCGGGAGCTCGGAGCCTCCGGGGTACGGCCGCCCGTCCGCCGGCACCTCGCAGCCGTCCGCCCCCGCCTCGGCTCTCCGGAGCCTCCCCGTGCCCGGGGCGCAGCCCTCAGCTCCGCGGCCGCTCCGCCGTCGGGGCGGGCGGCGTCGCCCGGCGCTAACAAAGTTCGCGGGGCGTCGGTCCCCCGGCCCCGTCCGCCCCGCGCCCTTCTTACCCTCCGCACGGCACCGGCCGCGTCCCCCGCCCGCTCCGGCCGCGCCGACCCCCGGCAGGGAGCGGGAGCGCCGCCCCGCCCGGGCACCCCGGCACTGGGGAGAGCCGAGGAGGCGGTGCCGGCGAGGGGAAGGAGGAGGTGGGAGACGTCTCCCCCCGGCTGCCTCCCCTTCCCTCCCCTCGGCGCCTCCTCTCCGATCGCCGCCGCTCTCGCTCGCTCGCTCGCCCGGCTCGAGCGGCTCCGCCGCCCCTCCGCCGCGGGCCGCCCCAGGCCGCCGCCCCCGGCCCTCCTCCGCCGCCTCCGCCCGACGCCTCGGCGCGGGGAGGCAGCGCGAGCCGCTGGGCGCCGGCCGCGGCGTCCCCCCCGCCTTTCGCCCCGCTCCGGTCCCATTTATGAAGCCCGTCTCCCATCACGTGTTAATGTGCCTTTTGTCCTGGCCCTGGCAGCCGCGGAGGCGCTCCGCACGCACGGGCAGCGCCGGGGGAGCGAGGAGGCGGCCAAACTTCGCCCCGCCGCCCGGGGGTGGGGGAGTGGGCGGCGGGACGGGGAGCGGCACCTCGCCGCCCGGCAGTGCCCCGCGCCCCGCCCGCCTGCTCCCCCGCCACCGAGGAGCTCTCGGCTATCGGTAACGATTCGCCCCGTCGTGCCGCGCTCAGCCATTACTCTCCGCCGGCAGCCCCAGCCGGACCGGGGGGGCGGCCCGCAGCCAATGTGCGATGCAGCGCCTCCTCCGGCTCGCCGGGGCGGCCCGCGCCTCCCCGCCGTCAGGGCGCTCCGGGCAAGGAGTGCCGGGCGTCCCGCGGGGCGAGCGCACCTCCCGCCGCGGCGTGGAGGCCCCCGCCGGACCTTGAGGGCTGCTCGCGAAGGTGGGGTGGACTCAGTGTGGACTGGGCTCCATCATGGGTATTGGAGGTGCTTTGGTCTCAGCCACCTTTGAAAGGTGTTCCCTCCGGTCGGACCAGCACCACCTCTCCTCATGCTGGTTGCCAGCACTGAGTTTTGCGGTCATGTGTTTGTCTTTTCCCCGTTATCCTCGAGGCTGACAGTCGTGCCTTTGGCTGATACAACAGCCATCATGGTGGCAGCCAAAGGTACCACAGAATCCCTCAGGTGAGGGCTGGGATGGCTCTGAGGCACAAGGACAGCAGCAGGCACAACTGGAGGGCTGGGGTTGATCCCAAAGCCAGATCTTAACGAATATAATAGCCAGCTGGCTTTGCTCAGTGTGCTTCTCCCTCTGCAGTGTCATAAATATGGATTTGTCTTCACATGTATTAATACAGAAACGTGATAAATATTTATCACTTGACAGTGTCTGAAGACATTAACTGGTCCACCTACCACATCTGCCTGTGGCGGAAGAACACTCTTCTCCATTGCTGGGAGAAGACACACGGAGAGAACTACGCTATCCCTGGCTGGGACCATGGAGATCGGGTGGTGGTGTTTCAGGTGCGCAGCCTGAGAGGAGCCAGCACTCTGAACACCATCACCCCAGGAGGTTTATGCAGTCGGGCCCTGCGCTGAGGCACTCAGCATCTCAGGGCTCTGGGGAAGCAGGCCCAGGAGCGTGGACCCATTGCTGAGCTGTTCCTAGAACCTGCTTCCATACCGATGGCTCCATCATCATTATTGCCTACATTTTTCCCCACTGCCAGCTCTTCTTGAAGGTAATCATTAAATTAACAAGAAAGGAAATTTTTTTTCAAGTGGCATTCCTGTGAGGAAAGTGAAGAAGAAAAAAGGCTAACTCATTTGTGCCCAACTCAAGCTTCTGATATTAGTCAGGCTGCTTGGTAATTCAAAAGTGCTGGTGTGTAAAAGGAACTTTATTTAACACTACAGTAAAAACAGATCAGATTTTTCTTTCCCTTCCTGTTTCAGAAGGTATAGACTTCTCAGAGGACTAGGAGTTTTCAAGGGATTCTCTTTCTTTGAGAGAGGCTGCCATTTTTGCCTTTCCTGTGAACCTAAGCTTCTCCTCTGCATCCATGAGGGAGGGACACATCTCACACAGGCAAGTCACATCCAGCAGACATCACTGGACAGAAATCAGTGAATTTCGGGGTATGCGTTGCTTCCTGCTCATCCCACCTCCGCCTCCGGGCCTCGCTAGAAGCTCGCCATCCTGAACTGGGACTTACGCCAGACTCAGGGCACTTCTTCTTTCTGTTGCTTCTAAACTCAGACAGCAGAGAGGGAAGTTGCAGTGCTGAGAGATGCAACTGTGCCTACACACTAAGGTTCTTCCCCCTAAAATCCCCCACAGTTGCTACTGCCAGTTCAGTCCCCAGGCGCAGCCGTGCTGCAGAAGGCGGGATGTGTTGAGATGCAGCCAGGGGTGACTCAGGCACCAGGTTCCCAGCCTTCTTGGGGTGTCCCCTGCCCCTCGTGCCTTGTGCTCATCTAGGATCTTGCTTCTAACACAGCAGTTTGCCAAAGCGATGGTCTCTGCGATCTTGTGACGCCTGTTCCTGGTGGAGCTGGTTGGAAAACCTCAGAACAGCTTTCCATTGGAAAATACAGCCCTGTCAAAATCAAACCGCTCTGCAAACTTGTGTTGGTTTCACTGAAAATGTCATTTAAAAAAGACTAAGTGATGGAGGGATGTTCCAACAGTGTGGGAACATCTCGTTTTGACATTTCCAAGCTAAATGTTTCAATTTCTTCTTTCAAAACGAGTTTTGGTTTCAAAATATTTCATTTTATATTATGTATTACGAAATAATACAACCTGAATAACACGTTTCCATTCAGCTCTAATTAATTTTCTCCACGATGTTCTTGGGGCAGAGAATACTACAGTCCTCATTAGGTGCGAAATTTTCAATCCCCAACACCTAGGAAAACAAAGGTCCCTGAGTGTGCGGGGCTCCCAGCCACGTGATGGAAGTCCAGAGTACGTACATGGTCACCTTTTTAGAGTGTGTGATTATGAAGGAATTTAAGCCTTGTTACCAGCTGAAAGAAAATTGTTCAGTAATAGTGATGAGATCTGAAGGAAGAGATGTGGAAGTAAGCTGTAATGTGCAACCTACTTATAGGTTTACTCCTGCTTTAGCAGGAGGGTTGCACTCCATGATCTCCAGAGGACCCTTCCAGCCCCTATGATTCCAATTCTGTGGACCCTAAGAGCAGACATTCTTACTTTTCTCTTGGTTGCTCCCATTTAGCATATTCCAAAGAAGAACATTGGTCAGATGTCTGCTGGCTGCCCACATTGCTACTGCAGCTGTGACTTCCTTCAATTCTTGTTTCAGAAAGAAGAGGAATGAGGGTAACACACGAAATAATCCAGCTGCTCCTGTGCTGTTCCTCAGCATGTCACCATTTGTGTTCTACTAGCTTTTTTTTTTCCTTCATATTTTTAGGAAAAATAAACATTGTCCATCACTTTACGAATGTTGTATTCCAATAGCAAAGCATTTTATTTATCTATTTAGGTTGATCAGATGTACCTAATGAGTGAGCCTGATGATTTACTTAGCAAAAATCCATATAATGATCAGGTGAGATGGTTCAGTGGTCTCATAAAGATCACATGCATCCTGGTTTTGTGGACTCTGGCGTTCTGTGGCTGCTTGCAAGATTTTCCCATCTCTCCTGGTCAAGAGTCTTTTCTGAAGCCGTCTCATGTGATAAGCTTAGAGGTATTGCTCCTTTGTATCACTTCATCCGTGGTAGATACGAAGAACACACAAGAAATAAAGGCTCTCCCAAGAGGCATTTGGAGGTACACTGTCTTCAAACACCCTCATTCGTGCCCTGTTCACAGGCAAATGGTTTTTCTCAAGGTTTATGTGGCAATTTCTTAACTCATTTTGAAATGAGAGAAAAGATTTGCACTTATGTCAGGTTCCTAATTTAGAAGATTGTCTGCACGTCTCAAAGCATTATCTATACTTGTCTGGCTTAGGAGACTTTGCTGCTAGGATCTCACTGAGAATGAAAGGTGCACAAAACCTCTTCCATGGTTTCACAGCCATAAAATCTTTGGAAAATTGAAGAGGGTCTCCATCAGTTCTGCTTCTGCTTATCCTGAGGGCCATGATAGAAATTCCTATCAAAACAAGACCTTAAATCCTGAGCATTTCCCACTCTGGCTTCCTCTCCCTAATGGGTAGAGCCTGAGCACCTCCAACGATCAGGCACTGCTGTAGCAATAAAAGTGTCTCGTGGGAACACGATTTTTCAGCTTTTTTACATTTTTCTCTATCAAACAGACCACGTTAGGTCGGGATCCAGAAACTGATTAAACAGATTTGCCTGTTCTTTTTTTTTTCAGCAGTATTGAACACCCACAGCTTTCACTGGCCCCAGGAGCTCAGCCTCTCAGAAGGTCCTGCTGTTTGTCTTCCTGTGCTGAGGAGGATAACAGTATCTCACTTCTCTCGCCAATGTGAGGCTTTTCCATTTCAGTGATATGTTCATCAAGGAGGGAACTGTCTCTTAGTAGTAGTTTGTAAGCATCTATTAAAGCCCCAGTCCTGGCTATGACCTGCAGGCACTGTCATGCTGCAAATAATAACAATAAAAACCCAAATGTTATT